TTAGTGCTTACAGATAATCCTAAGACTGGAATTTGCTCTTTTTCTTGAAAGCTTGCTTATTCATCAAGACTTCCAATCCCTTTGCTCCTACTCCGGAACATGTTGTTTGTACCTGAATCCTTTTGTTCTACCAAGACTTAACACACAACATTAGTCGAATTTTGTTTTGTTATGTCAATCATCAAAATACTAAGAGGGTCAATAGAAGATTTAATGTGGCAAATTAGATCGTGGCCCATCATTCGTCAATCCAAAAACGGTAAGATTCATGTTATTAATATGAATTCCTTCAGTTTGATCCAAATGCAAGTATTATGTATGTGATGATGGGCTATACTGTGAAATATAGTAGTCTACTGAAATGGGGTGCTTTTCCGTGCACCGTTAAGACACCACTAATTATGTAAGTAATCAAATGCAATAATAATGCGAAAAAATGGAGTGATTGAGTGAAAAACAAAGGAAGGTCCCACTCCACGTTCAAACACGATGGTTTATGGATTGATTTATGGGGTTCACCGAATTTGGCATACCGTTGTTGATAATTGGATTCAGTCATATATATATATATATATATATATATATATATATATATATATATATATAGCCCAACTTAGTTCCACATTTTCACATTTATGCTAGTATTGATTGATTAGTGGCGCGTTAATTGTTTGATTCGTCTTGTTAAATACTTTTAAGATATAAAACTTCTCTTTGTCAAAAAAAAAAAAGAAAAAGATATTAACTTCTATAAATCATAATTTAATTGACATGCTATTAGAGATATTAACAATTTTATATATGCATTAACAAATGTGTCAAAAGAGAAATGAGAGAATAACTTAAAGGATCAAAGGGACTATTATATATCTTTCTTTGCAAAGGATATATCTGATCTTATGCATTAAAGCATATAAAATTTATATACTCCCTAAGAAAATTCATATGGAGTGCTTTCAACGGTTCAACTTCTCTTTTTTTAATTCACAAAATTTGTGCTCATAGTTATCATGATCAAGCCTGCAATTATTTAATTAATTCAAGCCATATTTGACTAGTATAGCTAGCAAAGTAGAAGAGAAGACCAAAAATCAACAAAATAGAAGTAAACTTCCATAATTTATCTAAATAATTGAGATCATCTAAGTAGCAAATATTCTACGGAGTAACATTATTATAAAGAAATTATTGAAAAATCTATTAATTTTAAATTATTTTCTAGCCTCTTAATTTTACTTAAATACGTACGTAATATATATATTTTATTTAACTCTCAAGTTCTAGACAAACTACTTAAACTAATATTAAAATAAAAATACGCAGTACACTACATAAATTACGAGAATATTTCATTTCACCATACCCAGTGATCAATATATAAGGCAATAAAATTCAAATGTTGGCTAATTGTTCTAAGATGTAATAAAATAAAATAATTATCTACTTGTATTAATTAAATATGGAACGGGTTAAGACAACCAAAACTTAAATGTTAGAGAACTACTACCTAATTCTAATTCTACTAAAATACAAGAAACTCCTCTTATTTTATGTTCGTTTTTTCAGGAAGAGGTGAAGAAATTCAAAGCTTGGATCATCAGCAAGAGAAGACCAATAAAATAAATAACAAAATGTTGCTTTCTCACCTCTAACTACCCTAAACTCTAACTCAATAAATACCAAAGAAAATCCACATTGTTTTTGCATCCAAAACCTTAAGCTCTTATATCATTTTCTCTTAAGTCATCCTTACTTTCTTATAATATCATCATCACAAAGCTATAGTAATGGGTGTCTCTACCTTCACTGTTGTCGACGAAACAAGCTCGGTCGCCCCAGCTCGGTTGTTCAAGGCTTTGTGCCTTGACAACCACAATGTTTTCCCCACGGTTACACCTCAAGTCATCAAAAGTATTGATTTTGTAGAGGGTGACTCTACTGTTGTTGGATGCGTCAAACAATTTAACTTTGCCGAAGGTTTGTTAGTTTAAGTTTTAGTTTTTCTTATTATTTCAATCTACTCCGATCCAATATTCATCTCGTAGTGTTAACAATGACATTTGTGGTTATTTTAAGACGGAATTTTAATAGTTATTAAGTATTTACATAATGAAACTATAATATAGGAAGTATTGAATTGAAAAAATGAATAAGAGTATATTGCGATGCAAATTAAATGTTGCATGCAATGGATAAGTTATGTACGTAAGCTTATTGCCTCAATAACTAATTAACAGCCAAACTAGGCCTTTTTATTTATTTATTTATTTATTTTTATCACGATAAAATACGAGGGTGTCTTTCCTATCACAGGAGGGTTGAGTGAGGATCGAACCCAGGTCACTTCTAGGGGAGATAGAGGGACTAACCATTCCTTCACTCCATGATCCTCAAAAAATACTAGACCAATATAGAAATATTTGGTAAATGGATTCTAGGTACATAGTTTAATTTAAACCGATTAAAATTTTAAAAATAGTCAAAGCAAGACAGATTTTTTTTGCCAAAATTTGGCTTTTGACTTTTTATCAACCAAAGTACCACTCTATATTCCTGCTTTTCACTTATTGTGTTCTAATTTCCCCGTGATAATTGATACTTCGTAATAATTAATTATTTTTAGACTTGTAGTTAATTTTGATTTATTTATTTGTTAATTGATAAATAATTATATTATAATTAAGTATATAATTATTATATATAATTGATTTACCAATAAACATATTATAAACAACAAATGACACTACTGAACTAGCCAAATCAAATAAGTGACAACCAACCATCAGACATGGTCAAAGTTTGTAATCATTTTAATCAATACGAAGTATAATGTTCACTAGTGTAGTAGTGTGTCAAATTAAACTGTAACATTATTGATTATGTATACAGTATACTCTATACTGTAGTAAACTTCAGTGCATATTGTTAGATTATGTAAACTATTTATGTATTTATTGTTTTGTAATTATCTTTGGTAATTATTTTGTGTAAAGTTCCCTAGTTTAACCTAGAATACTTTTGTATATATATTGATTAATCGTTAATGAGAAAGGTACGGTAAATATTCTCATATTCTCTCACAAATATATCTAAGCTAATTGTACATGTGATTGATAAATTGCTCAGGGGTTCCATACAAATACTTGAAAAGCAAGGTGAACGAGCTTGATGTGGAAAATTACTATGTCAAGTACACGACTTTCGAGGGCGATGTTCTTGGGGATGCATTGGAATGTGTTGTTTACGAATCCAAAATTGAACCAAATGGTTCAGGAAGTCACTATAAATTGACTGCTCATTTTCACGCAAAAGGAGATGCTGTTCTTAGCAAGGATGATGCTGAAACTGGCCTTAAAAGCATGCAAATGTCCTACAAGGCCGTCGAAGAGTATCTTTGCAACAACCCTCAAGCTTGTACTTAAACATACATATTATTTGATGAATTTCTAGTTATGTCCTCTTTGAAATGTGTGAGATGAATGGAATTTGTATTATGCATTGTAAGTTTATCTTTTGTTGCTTAATAAAAGGTGTGTACCAATGGTTTGTTGAAATGATGTAATAAAAACATAATTGTTTGAGTTAAAGATTGTTAATTACCATCCGATTCCTTTGGTTTCTTATCTATTTAACCTATTAAGTATTTTAATTTGTTTTTCTCACGGTTTTTAATACAATGTTGTAATTAAAACTGTGTTTCTATATGAATATGTTAATATAAAATTAAGTCAAAGTTAGTATATAAATGAATAATACAAAGGACGAACGGTTGCATAATATTATAAAAAAAAGCGTAACACAAGTAAGATTATTTTTAGGTGAAAGTAAGATTATTTTGAGGTGAAAAATTGAAAAATTATTAGCTAAGATGATTACTAATATCTATATGTATCAAAAACAATCTTTGACTATTCGTCTATTCTAATAAGTGATGGAGTATAGTATTGTTATAATTATAACCAAAATTGGCTTGAATTTTATGCGAAGTATAGTATTCAAATTACTACTCGTAATTGATTGAAACAACTGACCTCAAAGTCAACGAAAGATTCATTCGAAGTATATTTGATAGATTTTGGTGATATGTAGACAGAATTGCAAATGCCATTTTACCCACATTCATATATGTGTGGGTGTTGATTGTGCGATCACTTCACACGTATTCTAAGGAATTAGTTGTATAATAAATATTACGGCGATCATCAAATGGAATAACCTTGACCGATGAGGGATTATTGCAATTGAAAAAACAGGGCTACTTTAACAACAAGTGTACTTATTCTTTTAATAGTCAAAACCAAAGAAAGGCAGCAAGCCGACTACGACCACTACGTTTAATTCACCTTATTTTATAACCTAGTTACTTATTATATCAGATTAGAAAAAATAAATTCAAATTATATTAAATAAGAAAAAAAAAAAAATAATACTGTTCCATATTGAATTTTGAGAGATTTATGTGAAAAATGAAACCTAACAATTTAATACGAGTAATTTTTATACTTAAATATAGTTATGTGAAATTACATGTCCCCAATCTTAACCACTAGGACAAGATTATAAATAGTGAAGGGAATGCTAATTAACCAATCAACAACTTTTTGGTGCAGCAAGTCACACCGTGTGGCAGGGGTTACCCGAGTTATTTTGTTAGGGGTTACCCGAGTTATTCAATCAGAGGTTACTCGAGTTACTCGGTCAGGGGTTACTTGAGGAGTTCGGACAGGGCTTACTCGAGGGGTTCACTTGGTCAAGGGTTATTTGAGGGGTTATTCGGTCTAGGGTTACTCGAGGAGTTACTCAGTCGTGGATTATTCGAGTTACTCAGTTAGGGGTTACTCGAGTTATTCAATCCCTCTTAAATCAGTATAAATTTAGATCTGATCAGATGAATGAGAGTAGCCTAAATCAGAATGGTAAAACCGAAAAAGTTACTCATTGGAACAAAGATGGTAAAAAATACGGATGGTCTTCCAAAAGATAAAGTGAGCCATTTCTTTGTTTCCCTTTCAATCCCTCCTCCAAATACTTCAACATCAGTAACCCAGAAACACTACTCCACATTGGAAACAATTTCTTCCAAAACACGCCGCTGAAGCTTCTCTCTCCATTTTCGCAGATTACCTCAATTTCCAGAAAACAAAAATGGCGGCTCATACTCTCACCTCATCTTCTCTCTCCTCCATCGCTTCTTCGTCGGAGCTTCGGAAATTTCTTCAATCTACTAATTCAAGCAATTTAGCCACTTCCTTCATCGGAAATCAGCTCGCAATTCGAAAACCTAACCCTAATCGTTTCATCTTGAAGCGGCAATCCACGAATATGACAGTTTCTTTCAGCTTACCAACTAGGCAAGTTTCTGGAATTCAATTCTTTCTTTTTCTTTTAATTTGTTGATTATGTATTTTTTTCTGAATTTTGAAGTTTGATTATTTTAATTGCAGTAGGCCGGAGGGAGTTCCTGATGAGAAATCGCCAAAGTAAGGTTCCTTAAATTTTCGTGTTTAATTGGATTAATTTTGTGTTGGTTTGTCATTTCAAGTGATTAAATCATAAGGATTGAGTGAATTTGAAATTCAATCCTTAGAATAAAACTTATTTTTGCATGAATTCCTCTAGAGTTGTTTTGATTTCGTATTCTTGTGATATTTTGGATAATGTGGGCTTGTTTTAGGATTTAAATGCTTGTTTGAAGTGATTCTTTGAATGTGGATAGGAATTGCCAATTGCCAGAAAGATGTTGTTCTTCTTTACAAATTCATTTCCTTAAATCGCGCTTAGGTATAGTGTAACATCATCGAATTTTGCTATGTTTTAAAGATTGAAGACTTCTTTCATTTTAGGTTTTGTAAGAAATTTGGGAGTTGCCATGATAATCTATATTTATTTCAGTATTATATGGATTTGTTTTTGTTGATATGCGCCTTTTACTTGGTATATAAGGAGCATCCTGAATTAGTTTCTATATGTCTTCATAGTGCATTTGGAAAGGGTTGTTTTCATGCCCTTTTATGTAAGCTCATCTGTTGTCTATAGACTTTGAAATACTTGCTTAATTATTGTTTTGTTTCCAAGCTTGAAACAGATGGTCTGCAAGGGCTATAAAGTCATTCACTATGGCTGAACTGGAAGCAAGAAAACTAAAATATCCAAACACGGGGACTGAGGCGCTTCTGATGGGGATCTTGGTTGAGGGTTCGTAATTCAGTCATGGTTGAGAAATTTTTTGCTCTTTTATGTTTTCTAGTTCAATATACAAAACTGTACATCCTTCACATGATATTTGCTAGAACTTTAAAAATGACATTAGTTGAATTGCTGGGTTGTGAAGTGATCGATCTTTATTAATGATTTTTACAATAAGAATTTGGTTATCCTTAGCTATTCAATCACATCGCTTTGTGTGATAATCTTGGTAGCCTTTGGCAAGACGTTTATGGAGGGGGTGTGGGGTGACTAGGCAGATCAACTTGCCCAAAATACCCTTTAGTGTACTTGAATACTTGGACTCCAGTGCAGCCTTGAGCCAAATCAATCATTTTGGTTTGTTGAAATGACTTAGAAATTTAAATGCATAATTAGGTAGTGCTAAATGTACTCTATTTTTTTTAAAAAAAATTAAATTAGAAGATTGTCATTCTTGGAGAAGAATTGTTCAACCAAATCATTCATATTGGACCTTATTGGATTGAAGCTGCGTTCTTAGAAAAGAAGGGTTAGAAAGTTTTGTCTGACTTTTGTCACTGTGGACTGTGGAGAGGCTTACTGGGAAATTTTCCGTTTTGTTATGATGCCTGGTTGATTAGGTAAATATATTTAGGAATAATAATTTTAGTTAGGATTTGCGTTATACAATGAGGGAAAAAAGAACTATACTGTGGATTATCAAGCATTTGAAGCCTCGGTGAATTAGATCTCAATTTTTTGTTAAGTACTTGAACATGATTGTTGCTCTCTGGTGATGAAATCAGTTCGATAGATTAGGAGATTGGATTTGGTTGGATGGGGTTGACGATGATTGTGTGGGAAATTAATCAATGGAAGACATTTAAGAACGAATATTACCCAATAGGAGATTTTGTAATCTTGGAGGGTGATGAGACATGTGAGAGTTGTATCTTGTATCCCACATTGAATATGTACAGGATGTGTCATTTTCTTAGAGGACAATCATGCAAATTGCAATAATAATGTCCAAATCCGAGACTAATTATGCAAGCAGATGGATTAAATAATAACTAAAGATGCATTTTTGGCGTGGATGTCCAGTTTGTGTTCAATTTAATGTATGGCATGTGTCATACATGATTGGAAACTCTTTTTTCCCCCTATCCACGACATAGATGCAGTTTCGCCTGTAGCATTGATTTAAAGATACTCTTACTTGACCACCAGCTAGTTATCCTCTTAGTTTAGGTTATACCTTGTAAAATTTCTATTACTTCCACAATGTTTAAAGGATTGTTTACTTGGACCCCCAACCCCTGCGGTTTTCTTTTCTCTTCAAGGCTGATCTGTTGATTTATTACCTATGTATTATGTCACCAACTAACATAATATCTTACTTTATCTACCTAGGAACAAGTCATGCTGCAAAATTTTTGAGGGCTAATGGCATCACCCTTTTTAAAGTGCGAGATGAAACTGTCAAGTTGCTGGGAAAATCCGACATGTACTACTTCAGTCCTGAGCATCCTCCATTGACTGAACCAGCTCAGAAGGCTCTCGATTGGGCTGTTGATCAGAAACTAAAGTCAGGTGGTTACTTTTGTTTCATTTATCACGAGCATTTATAATTTAATTCCAATTTATGTGTATTAGACCATGTGAATGATATGACACTGTATCTGGGTTACAGCCTTTCAATGCTCAGGGTATTGCTGGCTTTCCATAGCGAGTAGAGCTATTACTTTTACTGTATTTAAATCCCATACATGGCAAGCTAGCTCTTCTATAACATCTAAAATAACCAGAAATGTATCTATCTACCTTTATGCTTCTATGTAGTATAGCTTATTCTTTCTCTAATGCCACTGCAACAGAATTCTTATTGTTTTGGATAACAGAATCTTCTCCTTATGTCATCCCATTAACAGAAGATACTCTGCTTGGCGTTGCTCTGTCTATGTAAAACCCTGTACTTATTCTGTTTTGCTCCTTTGTCATAGAGGTGGTGATGGTTGCGTCAGTGAAAAACATGTGCCAAACTGCCAATGGCAATTCCTTCTGTAGTTGTATTCAGCAGAGCCAGATCAGCATTAGCAATCTGAGCAAAAAAAGTTCCTAAATCTCTTCATTGGCAATGCAGGTGAAGATGGAGAAGTTACTGTGACTTATTTGCTTCTCGGACTCTGGGAGCAAAAGGAGTCTGCTGCTCACCAGATAATGGCAGATCTTGGTCTCAATGATGAGAAAGTAAAAGAGCTTTCGAAATTTGTGAGTCCTTGACAGTTTTCTGTAATATCTCTCCTTTTTCATTTACATCTTAGTGCTCCTATTTATGTGTATTTTTATGATAATGCTCTACACAGATGGATAAAGACATTGTGTTGGCTCATCATAAGTAGGCTGTTTCAGAAATTGAGATTACCCTCTACTGCTGCCCTGCTAACTCTCGACTCTTGGCAACGCTTTCTGGAAGTACATGTCTCATGCTGGAGAGGAGCTCTGAAGTTAAATGCTTCTTTCCATTTGATCAATTCGGATTTTTAGCAAACTGAAGTTGCAGATCTTTGAGCAATTAGTTAGCTGTAGACGGAAGAGTTCCATGGAGAAATGTCAATAATATGCTTTGTTAGTTACTCCTTACATCCGCATTTATACTTACCTTTTATTGTAATTCCCATATATCAAGATAGGTTAGTTCCTGGGAAATAGAGGTTTGGTGCAAATTGGATGGTGGAATCATTGTATTTTATCAATTCGATTCAGTAATATGGGTTTTTGGAGTCAAAAATTAAGTTGAGTTTCTCATGCTTGATATAAAAATCTTTTGCCTTCCCACTAGTCTGCAGACTAGTTGAAACACTAGTAAATGCTACTGAGTAGCGCACCTCGTTTAGCTAGCAAATTAATGAAACTTGGCTGGGATTCCTTGTCTCATTTTGTACCCAATTAGGTATGGAACTGTGCTGAACCAGTTATGTCTTGGGGTCATTTCTGTGCCTCTCCACTCGCCTGCCCAATGCCATCCTCAGTAGTACACTGATTGTCTATGATTTTGTCACATCATCTGCATTCATCGATAGTCTCCAACAACAACATAGCCTTAGTCTCAAAATGATATTGATAGTCTTCAATAACTAAAAATAGGCAATGTGTCAAAAGGGGGAATTAGACTCGACATTAGACAAATTATATATGGGGGTATGATCCCAAACCATCACAACTATGTTCAAAGGAAGTTCTTATTGGGATTTGGGAATATTGGGTGAAGATGACAGACAAACCCATGGAATCTTGATATCAGCCTCTTGAGTCCTGACAAAGCTTATTATTCTGGTATCTGTAGTATTACTCTGAACTAATTAATACAGTCAAACTGTCAAAACTAGGAAAATCTCGTATTAACTTTGCAGCACCCAAGCTGTGTTTCAATAAGCTCATGCAATGGTAGTGATCTTGTAAGTTGCCTCTCCTACAACCAGGAAATATACGCCTTTGTCCATTGCCATCTGCCCGTCCTTGTTAGCCTTACTTAGGTGCTCGCATGGACTCACAGAAAACTCTATTTCACTTTCCTGTCCTCCATTCAAGTTCACACTCTCAAACCCAGTCAACTGCTTTATGGGGCTGTCATCATTCTGTTCACCTGCCCTCACAAAAAGTAAAACAGGATGTCTGCCAGCCATTTTTCCAGTATTTTTCACTCTGACAAAAGCTGAAAACTTCAGTGTCTCACAGAATTGTACACCCAGCTGTGAAACCAATATGGATCGGGTGATGTTCGAGCTCTTGAGCAACTGGTTAGTATGTGGTTCCTGATTCAAGCTAATTTTATCTCGAGTAACTGACGTGAACTCATAAGAATAGTTTGAGTAGCTCAGCCCATACCCGAATTCATAAACCTTCTTGCCTTGGTAAAAACGGTATGTCCGCCCTGGATAGCCAGAAGATTTGTCTGGCCTCATCCTCATATCTGTCATTGGTACTTGAACAAAATCTTGTGGATACCATGTCACTGGCAGTCTCCCACCTGCAGTTAACCAAAAGTATAAGGACCTTCATAGGTAGTTTTACAAGTATTTTTTCTTATACATTTGCTAGACTAAATTCCTTTTTTTTTTCAATCCTTTTAAACTATAAAAACAAATAATCTTTACTTGATATTGTATTGCATTTATCCTCTCAGATATGGCAATAAAAAACTAAAAATGTGACTAATGATTTCTGAAACTTGATTTTAGCCTTCAAATAAAAAATTAACTATGAAATTTTTATTTTCATTTTTTTTTTGACAGGGTCCCTAATCATTGTAGAGACTAAGCAAATAGTGGTTAGCTATATAGTCACCTGGATTATGATCACCAAAGATGATTTCTGCAAGGGCAAGTCCCCCAGCTTCACCCGGATAACCAGCCCATAAAATGCTTCCAACTTTTTTGTCGTCCCTAGTAAGAGAGACATCAACCGGACCACCACAAAGAAGCACTAGCACAATCGGTGTCTTAGCAGCTTCTGAAACGCTTGCTATAAGACTTTGCTGCTTACCAGGAAGAACAAGATCAACACGATCTAGTTTCTCTCTCTCCTGTGTTTGATCCAAACCCATCACCATAACAACATAATCAACCTCTTTAGCTAGCTCCACTACTTGTTCAACTTCAGCAGATGAACATTCAACTGCATTGCACCCTGAATGATATTTTATATTCTCAACATAACTTTGCAATGCTTCGAGAATTGTTGTAGTTTTGCAAGGATAACCTTCATAGTTACCAAGGAGAACTTGAGGGGAATCAGCATTAGGGCCTATTACAGCAAATGAATTGGTTTTGGCTTTTGGTAGTGGAAGGAGATTGTTGTCATTTTTAAGGAGTACAATGCTGTTTTGGGCAGCTTCAAGCGCAAGATTCTGATGATCTTCTGAGCAAACTTGTTCTGGACCAATCTTCCCGAAAGATCCATCTATCCTTGGATCTCCATCAAAAAGGCCTAATCTCATTCGAACAGAAAACAGGTTGTTGAGAGCTTGATCTATTTCTTCTTCTGCAACTTTTTTCTGAGTGATTGCCGATTTGGAATACCGTGGTGTGTAAGATCCACATTCCACATCCATCCCTGTAATCCCACCAACACACCGCAGGAAATGGTAAATATTTCTTACTTTTCAGCTGTTATCTACTTTCTTTCAAATCTCAGTAGATTAATGAAGGAAAGGCTCAAACACAACACAACTAGATGAATTATCAGACTGCATATTTTTGGTTGGTTGTTTTCAATCATAATAATAAATTGCTCGTTTTCACTATAAAAATGCTTACTATCTTCAAATATTTTGATAATATTGAACTAGGGTAGCTCCTATCTGAACTTATTTTGACTCAGAAAATGAAGCATCACTTTAGATATACCTCCACTTAGAACAGCAGCAACTGCATCTTCTGGTGTTTTAGCATATTTCTGTTGCTCATAAATTATTGGAACTGCATTACAGTCTGAGACTATGTACCTAAGAATCAATATAAGGATTTCCAAAAACTGTCAAAAAATGGAGCCACCGTTTAGAGTAGTAAAAAAAAACAGCCATTTAGAATACAAAAAAAATGATATACATGTAAGCTACCCATCAAAATGCCATTGTCCTCTAGCTGTGTCTGTTAGGAAATCATGATGAGCACAACTAGGGATTCCATTCACACGATTATACGCACACATAATCGAGCTGGCTTGACCTTGTTCGACACAACTCTGGAATGGGGGTTGGAATGTGTCTGCCAAATCTTGCTTAGACACCTTCAAAACCCACATAGGCAGATACAAATAGTAAAATACTTGGCCAAGGGGAATACAAACATACATAAAGGAAACAAGAGTCAATGAGGGTATCATTTTACCTCTGCATTGAAGGTATATCGAGTGATCCCGTGCCAATTATCCAAGTCATGAGCTGCGAAGTGCTTACAGCAAGCAGAAGCTTGAAGGTGCTTTGATATCTTATCCCCTTGGAAGGTATACCCTTGAAGCCCTCTAACATAGGACACTCCATATCTAGCAGTCAGCAAAGGGTCTTCTCCAGGGGTTTCCTGCCCTCTTCCCCACCTTGGATCCCTAAATATGTTTATGTTTGGTGCCCAAAATGTCAAGCCTTTGCCTTGTCCCACATTGTACATTGCCCTTGCCTCAGTCGCGATTGCCTTCATTCATACAAAAATTTCACTTACATTTTAAAGAAAACTGTGATGATCATTTTAACTAATAGTAATAGGAACACAATAACAAGCCTATACATAAACGTTAGTTTGTTGAACTTTTAGTTGATTTAGATCACCCAGCTTTTCGCATATAGTTCATCATGTATGGCCTTGATTTCCTCTTCTTCAAGGAATAGTTCAGAATTCTAGTTTTTTTTTTTTTTTTTTTTTTTTTTTTTTTTTTTTTTTTTTTTTTTTTTTTGACAACAGCAAAGTTTAGAATTCTAGTTATTGGCAATAGAAAAGCCTTAGTTATATGTTTCTTCCGCTTGGAATTAATAGCTACGTTGATGGTGCACTTTAAACTAGTTTTGTGACAAATAATTTTGAACAACCAGAGTACATGTTTCAAATATTGCAGGGCACAAGAGACGAATTTGTTCCTGATGAGTGACAAACTTTTTTGTTTTGATGCATAAGGAACACACAGGCATTCATACCTAGATCTTGGTAGCTTTCTTGTAAACAATAACACCAATGTGGACAATAGTAATAGTCATCAAGTCAGAGATTGTGTTGATGCTAAGGAGTTTGTGACTTTCTGTGAATTAGCTTGATGAGTTGATGTGTTTCATACAAATGCCATTAAAGCATAAGGCTCTAGTAATGGAACTACAACTTCAAAGATGTTTATATCTTCATTTATTCTCATTACCACTCCAGAATTATGGATGATAAATATTTATTATCATGAACACTATTCCGAAATAATTTTGACTATAAATAATTAGTTTTTTTTATGACCCATAAATCTTTGACTAATACCGGTAATTTTCTTCTTTGAAGCCTGTATTCTCGTACATAAGACTAGAGGCGACAATTGTATCATTCGAGTCAAGTGCACTATTGTACAGTTACATTCATCAGAGGAATCTTTCAGGGTTTGAATTCAGATTAGATATCTTTCGGATTTATTCTACAAGTATTTTACGTATCTCAAGCTCTCAACTATAACTATTTCACGTCGAGTGAATTCCAATTCAACCCACTTTCAAATATGGGTCAAGTAATATTACTAATTAAGTCGGGCATGTTTAGTCAGGGCTACATAACATTAGTCCATACTATTCTGTAATTTAAAAAAAATCCTTTTTACATTTAATATTAAAGATTCAATCTTCTTACTGTATAAAAAATGGAGTAGATAAATAAATGAAGATAACGTAACTCACCCGTGCAATACGATACCAAAGCTGAGCATCAAAAGAAGAAGCGGTAAGAATAATCTGAGGAAACATAGTTGCCGCTTTAATCGTAGCAGTTCCATTGAAAATTGTTCCATTTCTAGCAAACGTACCATTGAACCGGTACCCACGGCCGTGTCTTGACACCCCATGAAGTGACTCGGACCACCACTCGTAAACAGGGATACCGAGTCTTGGAATCGGTGGGACCGAGTTGGTTAGTTGAGCTATCTTCTCGTCTAAACTGAGTCGAGTCACAAGGTCCTTGACTCGTTGATTGATGGGTAGTTTGGTGTTGCAAAATGGGTAGGATTTTGTTGATGGGTTTGATGGGTCACAAGCGAAGAGTGGTGGAGGTGGGATTGAGTTGACTAGGGCGAGTTGAAGGAGTGTTGTGACGATGAAAAGGTATGTGATAGTGGGGAGATTAGTGGTTGCTTCACTTCTTTGGCCACTCATGGTTGTTGCTAAGTGGGTAGGTGCTAACTGATGCTAAGGAGTGAGATTGTTATATAGAGGTGTGAAAGTCTGAACCAACTTAATTCGATTCGATTTGAAAGTAACTTGATACAAATTTCGACTTATATGGGTATAATAATTCGCATGACTCAAACTCAAACTAAACTTATTTCGACTAGCCTAATTGAACCTGACTCAATGACTCGAATTGACACATTTCACTTGTGGAGTATATGAGTATTCCCCTGTACCTATTTGATTGTGTCATTGCATGACCTTTGTGGTCTACAAATATTTACGGAGTTAACGTATTTTTTTTATATATTTTATTTTTTATTTTTATGTAATTTGTGTGGTATTGGATTTATTTCAATGTCAATTTTATAGTATCATATATATATATAATTTTTTGTGTAACGAATTTGAAAATATTTATATTTTGAAATGGTTTTGGTGAATGTGATAAGTCAAATGAGATAAACTAAAGGGAGTACAGAGTATGGAAGGAGTTAGGGCATCTACATTATTACAACTATGGAGCATTATAATTATTCTTTAATTTTTTTTTTAATTTCCTCTTATGTGTGTCAATATTGTAGTGAATTTTATTAAACTACTTGAAAAATCATTGTCCTCCTTACCACTAATCCATCTTCCTGGCCTTGTACTTTCAAATTTGGGGTACTTTAGTTAATAACTTAAGGGTTTATGATTGAAGTAATCCTCTATTTACTTCATTAGTTATTAATCCTATATTTTTTTAATGTATCCATAATTGAAAACTTTCTTCTTATTCAAGGGCTAAAATTACGAGTAAATTTGAGTGTATGGCCTCCAAATTATTTAAAAAAATCATAAGCAATCTCTGTCTTCTGCACATCAATTTATATGTATATAAAAATGGTTACACACATTTACATGTACCGATGTACGTAGTATCTTGTGCATGTGTCGACATGGCCATTAGGAACATAGGACTAGAACAAAAGAAAGGTTGTTCAAGAAGTAAAAATAGATAGTGATGACGATGTTTCATGGACCATGGAAAAAAGGAAAGTGCTACTCGTAGTGTTGTGCAAGACTGCAAGTTCATCATTCGTTTGAATTGAGACAAGACCCTTTTCCTTGTATTTCGGATCACAAAAGTATGAATGATGGGCCTTGCTTAAGCCGGTTGAATATGATCCACTTTTGTTTGCTCCTCTCTACAACCCAACCACATTTACCGTTACAATAATGATCGCCAACTTACAAATACTAAAGTAACAAGTCTAACAACATTACAAATAGTGCCAATGTCATCAAGAATCCACGTACACCAATGTTATCATGTAGTTCAACCAAAACAATTTTTCAGTATTAAAATATATATCCCATAAAGTCCTAAAGAAACAAAAATACCATCCCAAATCCTTCAAATTAAACCTACCCACCAAAAGTTAAGTGAGTCACTTCAAATTCAAACCTAGGGTGCTAATCGAGCGAGTTGAGCATGAGTTACGGGGGTGCTTGACTCGACTCGAAAATCTTTTTAATGTGCTCAACTCGTGCTTGTTAAAGTTTCGAACCAATAAAACCTGCTCGACTCGTGCTTGTTAAAGTTTTGAGTCAAGTCGAGTAACTCATAATCTGCTAGTTAAAGTTTTAGCCCTTCTAAAATTATAGGCCTTTATTGTTTTTGTTCACTTTATATAGTTTTCTTTTATTTATTTGTTTATTATTAAAGATTTACTCTTTTTATTTTTTTTTTTTATTATTTTTTTTTATAATATAAATTAACTCTTATCAAGTGTCAAATTTATTCATGGTAATAACTTTGTTTGTAAATTCTGTATTTTAAAATATATTATCGAGTTGCTCACGAGCTTATCGAGTTGAGTTAGAGCTTGCTCAACTCGTGCTCGTTAACATCTCGAATCGAGTTTTGACCTAGCTTTGACCAAGTCGAGTGCGGGTTGCTCACGAGCTGCTCAACTCGATTAGCACCACTATTTTAACCAATAAACCCACTTCGAAATTCAATATTAATTTTTCAGCTTTTAATCACAACCATTCAAACACTTAATTCTCAAATAATATTCAATTTTTCATTCATTTTTTCTAAAAAAAAAGCTTTTATAATTTTAATCAACATTCTCTTCCTTTGCAAGTATATCTCGTGTATTAACAAAGTATAGTACTCTCCCTATTTTTTTTTTTGTTAAAGTGTCCTATTTTGACTGAACACGTATGTCAATATAAAACTTTAACCAATAATATATGTAATTATCAATCAGTATAAATAATAAAAAACTAACATTTAAAAACTATATATTGAGACATTTTGAACTAGTAACCATATGAATTTATATTTTTGTTACAAAATAGGTATAAATGAACTCTATACATTGATAAAAATAAATTATGTAAATAGCGTAAAATGTCAATTTGAAACACTTAAATAAAAACGGACTCCTTCACACATGATCATGTATTCATGTAACTAGAAATAACATGAAAAAGCACATAAAACAAAAAATTGCAAAAACAACTCAAAGATTCCACACAAATACAGTACTATCCCCCCAAAATCTCTTCACAAGTTATTCTCCCACCTCACAAATCCTCAATCTCAAATCTTCCATCTTTACATGACCTCACTCCAGTCTCTCTCCTCCAACACCACCTTCTTCACCAACAAAACCCAGAAAAATACCCAGAACATCAACCCCAACAACAGCAACAAAGACCCCAATTTCTCAGGTACCCCAAAAGCCCCTGCAATGAGGCTAATTGTGCCATTACAAGGGGTTGTTCAAGGTAGGGGTGGCCTTATTTTAGGGTCAATTATCCCCTGTGCTCTTTTCTACTTCTTCCAACTTTACCTTAAGAAGAATCGCAACAGCAATAATCAACCTCCTCCTTCTTCTTCATCTCCTCCAACTCTCTCTCCTACCTCCTCCAATGTCGAGCTTCATCGATCTTCTTCTCGGCCCAGTTTATCTTCTTCTCGTTGTTCTATTGGGCCTGCTCGTCTTTCTTCTCGGGCTTCTGTGCTTGCCGGGCCCAACGATTCTGCTTACTATTTGGGCCTTGATAGGGCTCGCAAGGATGCTTACCATGAAATTGATAATCCCAATGGGGTTATTCAGCTTGGTTTGGCTGAGAATTTGGTGGGTTTACTTTATTTCTTGGTGGGTATTTTTGATTTCTTGATTGTAATTGGGTGTTAATTGTTTTTTTGTTTTTGTGGTATTTTAGTTGTCGTTGGATTTGATTGAGAAATGGGTAGCAGAGAATTGGGACAGTTCGATGTTGAATGGTGGTGAATTGGGGATTAATGGGATTGCTACTTACCAGTCATTTGATGGGTTAATGGACTTAAAAATGGTAAATTATTTTTAATTTTTGAATTTATGTTATTTTTATTTATGTATTTATTGTTGGTTAAATAGAATGTTGTTTATAATTTGCCGCTTTTGATGATGATTTTGTATTAGATAACCCCAGTCAATATTGCTGTTTTGCAATGTAGGTTAGCCTTTGTGATTAAAGATGCATAATTCATTAATAATTACACTAAATATGGAAAGTTTAGCTATATGGGGCTTTCGTTTGAGAACTTTTGTGCTGAATGATTTGGAATCAATTGCATTTGGGAAAAAGTTGGCAAGTTGGGTTGGTTTTGCATTCGTGTACGTTTCGGGATGTAGTAGAGTGATTTCAATCTGGAATAGTTGACATTGTCAATAGCTGAAAAAGATTGGTGTGACATTAGAGACTAAGAGAAGTAATTTAAGCAAGATGTAATCTGTTGATGGATCAACACAACAAGCACATGAGAAAATTTTAAAAGGTGTGTGCTTTAAGAAGTTATGCTAGGATGTAATAGAGTATATATTAATTTAGGGAAAGAACAGGGAAGTTGATCTAAACTAGCTTATATTGAAACTGGGAAGTGATGTTGAATGAAGAGTTGGCAAGGACAATTTCCTTGTCAAGGTGGTTTACTAAAGCAAAAGAACCAATTCCTGATTTTAGGCTATCTGTTTACTCCACAAAAGGTTAAATTTGTTTCTGAGCTAGTTGTCTAGGATGCAACATGTGGTCAAATTGTGACATCTATATTTTCTAACTCAATTTTTGGATTCATAACTTTTGAAGGATGCATATACCATTCATGTTTGTAATGGTAATCTACTTTGTACAAGTAACTCACCTCTTCCCCTAAAATTTTTCACATTGTAATCTTTAAATATTTATTCAGTGAACCAAATCGGTCCTAGTGTGGAGAGGATTCTTCATAGTTAAGTGAAAAGACAGTTCAAATTTTGTAATTATTCTATTTGTACTTTGTACGGTCAGAGAGAACGTGTCTAGAACTTGCTCTTAGATCACATAGGGAGCCAGGAACTAGGATTGAAGATTGGTATAAGATTAGCCAGTTTTATTCTACTAAATTGTATCTGAAAACTAGGTCTGGCCTGTAAAAAGTTGAATTATGAACGTTTGGCATGTTGTGTTTCTAATATTCTTGCATGTTATGGAATTTAGGCTTTCAATAAATCATTATATGCTGTGTGTTTTGGTCAACAAACTCTTCTTTTAGCTTCCTTGTTAGAGGCCTTCACAAAATTGAGTTGCATGTAGTTATTACAAAGTATTAGTCATGCTAAATTGTTGGTTAAGTGATGTGGTCCTCTATGCATCTCCCCTTCCTCGACCTGGCTCTCTATTCATGAACAAACTTATGGTTACTTCCATGTGATTGTCATAATTCACATGTGTAATTCTATTTTCTTGAAAATTTTGAAAGTGATGGGTATCTTGTTCAATTGTAGGCAATGGCTGATTTCATGTCTAGGGTAATGGGAGATGTCTTCTTTGATCCGTCACAACTAGTATTGACGTCTGGTGCTACTCCTGCAGTGGAGATACTATGTTTCTGCCTGGCAGACCATGGGAATGCCTTTCTGATTCCTGCACCATATTATGCTGGGTACTTATCTATTCCTGTCTTATCTTATGCGTTAAGGAACATTTTTTTTTCCTACATCAGTTTTATTGTCCTTGACATAAAAAATATCAAAATGCTCAAACAATTAGACGAAATGGCACCGATATGTGCATAGACTAACATGGAAGCCTACAGTTTTGACAGGGACTTGGTGCGTACTGGAGTGGAACTAATACCTATACATTGTCGTAGTTCTGACAACTTCACATTAAGTAGTACTGCCCTCGATCAAGCTTATAATAATGCTAGAAAACGAGGGCTTAAAGTTCGTGGGATACTCTTCTCAAACCCTTCCAATCCTGTGGGCAATATACTCTCAAATGATACACTATATACAATTTTGGACTTTGCCAGGGACAAAAACATTCACATTATATCTGATGAAATATTTGCGGGGTCAACCTATGGGGATACAGAATTTGTGAGCATGGCAAAGATTGTCGAAGCAGAAGACTTCGAGAAGAATAGGGTTCATATCATTTATGGACTCTCCAAAGATCTTTCTCTTCCAGGTTTTAGAGTTGGGGCCATTTATACCTTTAATGAGAACGTATTAGCTGCTGCAAAAAAGTTTGCCAGGTTTTCTTCTATTTCTGCTCCTACACAGCGCTTAGTAGTATCAATGCTGTCAGATAAAAGGTTCATTGAAGAATATATGGAAATAAACGGAAAGAGGCTAAAGAGGGTGCATGACTCCTTTGTTGCTGGGTTAGATCAACTTGGAATACCTTGTGCAAGGAGTGATGGAGGATTATACTGCTGGGCTAATTTTAGTGGGCTAATTAAGCCCTACAATGAAAAAGGAGAGCTTGACTTATGGGAGAAGCTGCTGACTGTAGGCAAAGTGAATTTAACTCCTGGGTCATCCTTTCATTGCATTGAGCCTGGGTGGTTTAGGTGTTGTTTCACTGCGGTAGCTGAAAGAGAAATTCCTTTGATTATGGCACGAATTAGGAAAGTTTGCGAAAGCTGCAAATCACCCAGCTAATGTGCTGTGAGTTTCAGTATTTTTGAGTTCATGTGAATAATTGTCTAGCTAAATTGTCAAATAAACATCACCTAGTGGAAAGGTCGGTCGTTGAAGAAGGGAGATAAATGGAGAAAATGTACAGATATCATAACACAGGAAGATTTTGATATTTTATTTATGAAACATGTCCAGAAGAGAAGATATATGGAGACACTGAATAGTTCACTCCTACAAATATGAGAAAACAGTTTCTACACAAAAGAATATCCATGAAGTGCTCTCCTAAGAAATTCTTAATGCCAGGAAGTCCTCCCTCAGCATTTTCGCTAGTCCTCCTCCACTGGCCACAATGTTGAAGCATCCTTGAGGTTTCTTCTTTGTGAATTCCTGCCATTTTCCCACCAGGCAAGTTAATTAGTGAATAGTTTTTGTATATAACAAGGAATTATTAATGACTACTCGGCGAGGTTTGTCAATCTGTAGAATATGAGCAAGTATATAACTTGGGCTTTTTTTTTTCTCTTTCAGTTTTTGTAAAGCATAGGCTGATAAATAGCCATTTGTTTTCATCAATCTAGAAGGTTATTCCCTTAAGTAGATTGCGACTGTACTGTTTTTGACATGCATAGTTTTATGCAAATTTCTGTAATATTATGGATCAGATTACCTTTTGCTGATATTGTTTCTTCATATTACCTGCCTTTCGGCGGCAACTTCTTCTACGACTCTGCATTATCAGCTCTCCCAGGGTGCATGGCTTTCTAATCACGCCACTTCGTCTGCCATCACCACCCAGTTTTTTATGCTCTACCAAAGTAGGAGGTTTCTTCTCAGGAAGCCTAATTTGCTCCTCAGGGGTCTTTCTTTTTTCCAGAAATCCAGACTTGGGTGGATATAAAGGAAATAGGTGTGCCAAGAAAGCAGAACCTCTCAAGCTTATATCTCTAGTTTCACAACTATTTGGAATACTGCTACTTTCTGGTGAAAAAGGAGTCTCCATACACCCGTTACCCTGATGTTCTATATAAGGGTTTCGGAGGGGTGTGAGGCGATTTGCTAGGAGAGATGGAGCAGAGCAAAAGGATTCTTCTGATTGGACGCTCATTGCCTCAAAATCCAACTCTGACATCCAATCTCGGTCTTCATAATCATCAGCATAGGAGCTATCTCCTTCATCGGTCTCATCCTCATACTTAGTAAAGTATGCAGGAGGTAAAGGTAAGCTCCTATTTTCCGGTATGGTTTCTTGATTCTTTTGTTCTGTTGATTCCTGAGCAAAACTCCGAAGTGGAGTCCCTGGTTTCTCCTCCCATTTGAAGGGGATGGAAGCAACATACTTCACTGGGAGGGGAATAGGAGTAGTAGGCTCGCGCTTTGGCATCCAATCCTTTTTGGGTGCTCCCGGTTTATCTTCCCAAATAAAGGGTACCGTAATTTGTTGCTTGATTTTCTTTCCACACTCTGCTTTCTCATGGTTTTCCTTATCTTCCATTGTAGGAAGGGAAAATAAAGAGTATGAATGGATGAATCTAGTGCCTGGTGTTTTCGGGGTATGTTGAGTTTTGTTTTATAGTGAAGTTGAAATATAGTTAGTGGGTTAGAAATTAGTGGGGAATTCAAAGTTAAAATAATCTTTTTGATTAACTGTACCATCAACTTAAAATTCTCTTGGTTGGGATTTTGCCAAATTGGGTTTGGTCTACTGAATTCTACCCTCCACTTAGTTAATGCTATCTTACTTCCCAAATCTTCTCTTTCAGAAGTCTTTAACACTTTGATAAAAAGGTTGGTGCACTTCCAGTCTTCAATCATGCTAATAGTTTCTATCTTGATGACGGAAAAATATAAGTTACAAAATTTTATGCAACTGTCTCGTTTAAGGTATGGACTCGCTTGGTAAGACTTCCCCTACACTTCGTATTTTAGAGGGTTGAGATAAAAATCTTATGAAGTAATTTGGTGTTGAGGTCTGATTAGGATCCTTATTACCTTGTTAAAGAAAAATGTTGTTTTTATTGGGAATGCAACTATATATTTGATCATTCATTGTTTTAATGATAAATATAAAGATTTTATGTCGAAATTTAAACGTTTTAACCCAAGAGCAAAGCATAATTTTGAATGAAGGGAGTATAAAAAAAAAAAAGGGGGATAAAGTCATAAAGATAATCAAAGCACCTTACATTGGTTTATGGTCCAACATCATAAAAGGTGGTGTGTTTGATGAAAGATCCACGAAGGGAATTTCAATATGAATTTAGACCCTTAAATTGAGGGGCGGGTTGTATTAGGGAATTTCAATATGATTTTATTATGACTTAATTAAATGATTTATTTTTACTTTTAGATTGGCTTTTTCAGTGGGTTATTATAGAATTTCATTTGACCCCAAAGACCACTGCTTCAGTAGTTTACCCTACAAAAACCTAACCAGAAGGACCAAAGGCTTACCTACAAATTACAAGTATCATAAGTTCATTTTGACCTAAGAAAGTCAATGGTGAGGTTATATTTTTTTGTTCTTCTCGTCCCAATTAGGTATTATGATCTACTCCCATTATGAAATTACATTTTTTTTTTTTTGAAACATAAATTATCTTAATTGAGTTACATTGTATAGTGTCTACAATATTATCTAGAGGGTGATGATTATGTTCTTTTCTTTTTTTTTCTTTTTTAATTAACACAAACTAGTATTGGAAAAATGCTAGTAATCCGAATCCAATCCGACTTGCCCAGATATTCAAAAAAAAAAAAAAAAAAAAACTTAAATGAATTTTGTTGAAAATGTAACGCAAAGCCAATGCCTGCCTCTGCTTTTGATGTACAAAAGATCGGTCCACTTCTTCCAGTGAATTCCCTTGATTGTGTCTCAACTTCCCCATCAAATGTTATCTATGAAGCTCTCTAGCACTGTTGGCAGATTAAAGATTTATGAAGCTGGACAAAGATTCCACGAGGTCTTTTTAAGGACAAATGAACAATACACTTGGCATCTAAGCATAAATAAAGCCTACAAAAACACATTACTTACGATATGCGACCTTTTTTTTTCTTGGAAGGAAATCAAGGAATACAAATGATTGAAATGGGACCTTAGAATAATATTAAATTTACTCATCTTATAAGTACATCCTTATTTATTTATTTTTGATGCATATGAGTACATCCTAATTATTTATTGTGTTTCATTCATATAAATTCAACTAATAAATGTTGTTTCACATCTTCTATTATGGTAGAGGGTGTTTGTCCAAAAAGGATGATATTAAACTATGTTTTAGATTAAAACAAAATTATTATGAAAAATATTCATACTATTAATATACTAAGTACATCCTTATTTATTTATTTTTCATTCATATAAAAATATTCATACTATTGTAATACAGAGTATGATTTTGTCGTATGATTGTTGGATATTCTGTCAGAAACTACCAATTAATATACTCCGTACTATTTTTTTTTTTTTCCCTGTATATATCACTTTTGGATATAACTACCATTTGGATATAACGGATTCCATCCAAATTCTCTGTTTGCCCCAAAATATACTTTGCATAAATGAAACCCACAAAAACACGTTACATATGATATGGGAACATTTTTTTTTTTTAATCTTGCAAGGAAATCAAGGAATACAAATGGGACCTTCATCATGAAATTTTAATTTAGACAAATTTCCCCTAGGAAAAACTCTTTCATTATTTTGGATACTCGTAAATCCTTTCATAAACAAAGGACCAATCTTATAGTTTTATCAACTAAGCGTCTAAGCATAATCAACTTGGTTTTCTCTAAAATCAAGTAATCAATATTTCAGAAAATGGAGATAGGAACAGCTGTATCTAATGTTGATTCTCTGAGTGCAACACTGAATTATCTACGGGGCAAAGAGTTTCCATCCTTGCATGACTGCAAATCCCAGATTGATAGACTCTTAGTTGCTGTTTCCGCTGCGAGAGATGTGTTCCTCCAAGTTGCTGATGCACATGAGCTCTCTGAACCACAACGTTCATGCATCATGGAGCTCGAAGGTGCTGTCTCTGATGCAAATAGGCTGCTCGATAATGTTGTCAGTCGTGCTGATCGGATTCAACCTGGGATGGTTGGAGGCGGTCTCTCAAAAAAGGTGCGTCTCTTCTGTTCCCGTCTCAATCCTCACTGGGTTGCTTACTCCATTTCTCGAGAGGTTCAGAAACTCAGGGACAAGTTTGATCGTATTCTCACTAATACTTGTGGTATTGCTCCTAATAATAAGCCGATACGAGAGCCTCAGATGTGTTCATACACGTGTGAAGACTCCTATCCCATTGGAAGAGAGGATGATGTGGAGAAAGTCGTTGGTATGCTGCTTGATCCTTCCAATGTTCAACGTGATGTGTCTTTCCTTTCTATTGTGGGTATTGGAGGCTTGGGCAAAACTATTCTTGCCCGGCTTGTGTTCAACGACCCAAGGGTCACAGATGTATTTTCATTGAAGATGTGGATTTGTTTCACTACTCAAGATCAGAAACAGTTGGACATTGATGGGATTCTGCAAAAGATTTTGGCATCAGCCACTCGCCAAAATCACGAGGGCGCCACTTGCCAAAATCACGAGGGTTCCACCATGGATCAGGTGAAAAGCCAACTTCGAGGACAACTAGCCCGCCACAGGTACTTGCTTGTTTTAGATTACGTATGGATTGACAATGGTGATCAATGGCGTGATTTGGTAAAACACTTGGATGGAGGTCAATGGGGAAGTTGTGTCTTGGTGACTACACGTTCAAAACTAACTGCAGAAATTATAGGGGCTGATCATATGCATATGCTGCCAATCTTGTCAGAGGAAAATTCATGGCGCTTGTTAAAAATGTTAGCCTTTGGAAGTGAGATCAATACTCCCGATAATTTGGTTGGGGTTCGACAAAAGATTGTTAATAACTGCGCTGGACTACCTCTTGCAATAAGAGTAGTAGCAAGTCTTTTGGGTGATCAAGACAAGAGTAAGCCGCAATCATTAGAGGAAATTGGATCAGCCGCCATCAGGGAGAGCATGGATGTCATCATGGCCGTGGACCATTATCATCATCTTGAATCTCCGTTGAAGAGTTGCTTCAGTTATTGTTACTTGTTTCCCAAGGATTTTGAGATAGAGAAAGAGAAGTTGAAAAGCCTTTGGATGGCACAAGGCTATATAGTTCCATTACATGAAGATCAAAGTATAGAAGATGCATGTGAGGAATATTTTTCGATGTTATTGAATAGATCTATTTTCCAAGACATAAAATATGATAACTATAGTCAGATCGTGTCTTGTAAGATAAATGATATCATGTATAATATTTCTCAACATGTCGCGGGGAAGGAAATGTGTGTAATGAATACCATTTGTGGCAAGCTTGATAAAGATGTGCGCCATCTATCAGTTATCGGGGAGAAGTTTGACGAATACACTTTGGGTAAAACACATATTCATTCATATCTTCATTTAGATTATGATGGTATTCAAGTTGGCAAGGTGAGCAAGTCATACTTGGAGTCTTTGGTAGCAAATTGCCTGAACCTGAAGGCATTAGACCTGAGTGGGTTAATTTTTGAAAGCTTGCCAGACTCGGTTTGTAAATTGTTAGAGTTACGGTATTTAAATATCTCTGGGAATACAGAGATGAAATTTCTCCCAAAGTCAATTGCCGAACTACGTAATCTACAAACCTTGATCTTAAGGCGGTGCCACACACTGAAAGAGTTGCCAGCAGAACTGATCAGGTTGGATAATCTCAGGTTGTTGGATATCAGGTATTGCTTCAGTTTGACTTGCATGCCTAGGGGCATGGGTGCGCTGACTTACCTTCACAATCTAAGTGATTACATAGTGGGCGGTGAACATTGGAATCAGTTGTTGGACGACCTAAAGCCTCTTCTCAACCTTAGAGGCTGTCTTAACATCCATATCAGGTGGCCCAAAAATGTCAAAGTTGCTGAGGAAGACAGAGAACAAGATGGATTATGCTTGGGGAATACGGAGCATCTCAATGCTATTTTGTTTGATTTCATCCATGATGAGGCTGATGGAAGCGTGGGTACTGAGGAAGCAAAAAGATTGATAGAAAAGCTACAACCGCATCATAATTTGAAGTATTTAGAGGTGAAGAAATACCATGGTCTGAGAATGCCTGGTTGGGTGACTCTTCTTTCGAATCTTGTAAAGCTTCATCTTACAGATTGTAGGGAGCTTACGTACCTGCCTTGCCTTGGAAACTTGCTTTGTTTGAAAGTTCTCAGACTTATAATGTTGGCTAATTTGGAGTGTATTGGGGAAGATAGTCCATCGGTTGATTCCAGTTCCACATTTATGCCGCAATTATCAATTACAGGATTACCATATCTACCACCCCTTGAAACACTTGAGATGAGCAATCTGCCGAAATTGAAAGGATGGAGGAGAGGAGTGGAAGATGATCATCAGTTCCTCAATGACAGTAGCAGCAATAAGGCAGATTTGCAATTACTACCATGTTTTTCTGACCTGAAATCTTTGTTCATATGGAACTGTCCGGAGCTGACATGCTTTCCGTCTTGTCCCAAGATGGAAGACCTGACATTACTTAATTTTAATAGCAGAATGCAAATGATTATAAACTGTGAAAGGGATGTGAACTTAGAAGTGGTCATTCCCTTTGCATCTTCTTCGTCGTGGTCACCTCACTCTGAACATTTGTCTGCAATTAAGAAGGTGACTATATCCAATGTGTCATGGCTAAATTCAGTTCCTGTAGAGGCTTTTCAGTTTGTTGAAAGCCTAGAAATATGGGGTAACAAGGAACTGGGGAGCCTGGGAGAAGCTGAAAATGTTTTCCGTGGCTGCTCGTCTTCCCTGAGATACTTGATGATTAGCAATTGCTGTACTTTGCGGAGTGTTGTGCCTGGAGGATTGGAGCATCTCACTGCCTTAGAGAAGCTAGAGATAAGGAATTGTAATAACCTGAGGATATCAGAAGAACACCAAGAGGAGGGTGTGAAGTGTATTGGCATCGCCATAAACGACATCCTGCCATTGCCTTCCAACCATCATTCCCTCCGCACATTGACATTACATGGTCTCCCACAGCTGGTGAATCTACCTAACTGGATGCAGTTCCTGCCCGCCCTTCAATCTCTTGAAATTTCATTTTGCAATCGACTCAAGTCAATGCCAAATTGGATGCCCAATCTCCAATCTCTCACTCATCTTACAGTGTCCGGGTGTTCAAAAAACCTGGAGAGAAGATGCCAACAAGATCCTCCAGGGAAGGACTGGCCTTACATTAAACACATCCCAAACATCCAATTTCAAGAATGTTTTTACTAAGGTATGCAGCAGTAAATATAAACTATCACCTTTCCTAACATCACACTCCAGTTTTTCGACTTTCTCCCATAATCATATAATAACACATAACTGTTGAATGTGCAGATTTTGCTGCTCTCCCTGTATTCACTTACCGTGGCTACTCCAGATGTGTCTTTCCTTGCATTTATGTAAGCATTATCTGTTTTTTAATGTGCACTTACATCTACAAGTATTTATTTGTTGTTGCCTGTTCATCAGTCATTACATTAGAATTAGAATTTTGTTATAATTCATTTATAATTCGTAATTGAACAGTTCGATATGGATATTGCTCCAAGGTGAAAACTAATGGAGATGTCAGTGAGTCCCTTTGTCAAGAGCTATAGAGAACATGTTACCCACCCCTGTGGGCTAGGGGTTGATCAAGTAAGCCTCCTCCATTCCTCCAATGCTAAAGTCGGCGCCTTAGCAAGACAGAAGGCGAGAAGAGCATAGCACCAAGATGTCAGAATGAGCCCCCTTTGTTGTACTAGGTATTAAACTATTTTAAGTGTACTGTCCAGTTGTCTTTGTGGCTTTAGTCCGACTACCCAGGTCCTCCTGGTGAGGTCTAACCGTTGTGGAAATTAGAAAACTGCTGCACTTTAGTAGCAAGAGCTTGTCTATTTCATTTACTTATTGCAAACATTTCCTGTATGAAATTGTGATTTATCTGTTATCTACTCAGTTTCCTCCCACTTCAATATTTATAGCAGGATGCTAAATAAATATTTGAGCCTTTGCGTATTTCTCTTGTTTCTGATTGGAAAGGTTCAGGATGATTTTAAAAGTTGGCCATGTAACAGTCTTACTTGATGTATCTATTCTGGTTCGTCGCAATATCTCTTAGGAGTCACTATTGCAATCCTCTAATGACATACATACTAGTATGCTGCTATTAGAGGTAGCCAAATTAGCAAGTGATCTAATACGGAGTCACTATTGCAATCCTCTAATGACATACATACTAGTATGCTGCTATTAGAGGTAGCCAACTTAGCAAGTGATCTAATACGGAGTATACGGTATACCCATGATGTTGTGTATGGAGCAATTCGCAATGTTTGGAGCTTAAAGATTGGTTATGGGTTTCTTAAGTGCCTATGAAGTGTATGCAATTATGGATGTTTCATATATTTGCTCATCTGGATTCTGGAGAAACAGGAAAAGGATTCAAATCCAGGTCTACAATACTCCCCCCTTTTTTTTTTGAAAAGTTACAACACTCCAACTGATATAATATCAATCCTTCATAATAAAACAACACAAATTTATGAGAGGTTTAACAAGCTAAACAAAAACATACTAGTTTAATGTAATTCATCATACATTGTAGTGTCTGTGTCTGTCTTTACCCACACACCATTCTCGTCACAGGGGAAAAAGATGAGATTAGGACAACTCAATATTTCTAACCGAGTTAGTTTAGGAAAAAACTTCCTAAATTCATCCCAGTGGATGGTTAGCTCCGGTAAGTATCTGAGACGTACGGTATGTACATTGCGAAAATAATGCTTCTTCGGATCCAGGTCCAGGTCCGAACGTTGGCCTCCTCTGATGTAGAGTTTCTCCAAGGAACTCTCTGTATCTTTACTAATACTCCATAGAAGAAATGGCAATGTATTCTTTGGGGCAGCCTGAAGCTGCAATTTCTTGAGACTCTTTGGAAATCTTGTTGCAGCAGTTGCGCATGGAACAGCAGCAGAACTCCGCACCCAAAGGATTCGTAGAGCTGTGAGCTTCTCCATTGCAAACAGAGTATAAAAATCTTGGATAGTAGGAAAACTCATTCTTCTAGTGCGGATAGTCAGCTTTATTAGCTCCTTAAGATCTGATAAGTCACTAAACAATGCCATTGAAGGCGTGTTTTTCTTCTTTTTCTTCTCATTTCCATCAACTCCCACTTGATTTAGATCTTCTGGATTGATTACAAAGCCCTTGAGCACTCGAAGCTTAGTCAATGAAGCAATTCCCCGAGGGATGTGATCGAGTAAGTAGCACTCGGACAAATCCAAGTGCGTAAGCTGATTCAATGACTCGATCCCTTCTGAGAGGGACTCCAAGTTGGGACATGCTCGCAGATCCAAAATCTTCAGATTGTCGAGCTTGTATACTGATTCCGGTAGCTCTACGATTCCTGATATCCCTTGTAAGCTTAAACAAGTTAAATGCCCCATATTTCTCAAACCCTTGAGAATTTCAATATCTTCAACAAGGATATACCTTTTAGGATTATGATCCCAACTACCTAAGTGTAGTACTTTAACATTTTTCTTTTCATTTAGCCATTCAAATGTCTTAACACCGAGGCTGTTCTCCTCTTTGTTGATCACCAATGACGCCGCCAATGGCACATTTGTATCATCATATTTTATCAGCTTAGAAAATGTAATGGATTTTGTTAGTCGTCTCTTGGGCTTTGGTGGTTGCGGCTGCGGCTGCAGTTTCATTACAGACCAATGCTTTTTTGTTTCGTCAATTTCCACAAAGCTGCTAATATCTTGAATGACTTTAGAGCGAACATTATCATTCATCTTGTAGCTATTATAGAGCTTTTTGTTTCCAATAATGGTGCGCTCGATAAATTCTTTCTCCACAAACTCGGCCAGTATATCATCGCCCTTGTGTGGATCATCAATCAAATCCAGAGCAATCCACCAGAAAATCAGCTCTCTTTTCTTTATTTCCATCCCAGCAGGAAACAAACCCCAACAGGTTAGACATTTCTTCTGTTTGTCAGAGAGCTGCCCAAACTGATGATCGTCAATAGTGGAAGCTTCATGTTGAGTTGAATCACCAGTTGGCGACTCGCAAGGCTGCTCGGGCAGACTAGTTTCTGAAGAAGATTGCTTCTTGGATTTCCATTCATTGATTTTCTTAGCGAGGTCTTTGAATTTTGTGGCATTGTCACTGTCAAGCTTGATGAAATTTCGGACAGTGACTTGGATTTTTTCGATAATTTTGGGTATGATAGTTTCAGGGAAAGAGGGTGGAAGTTGAGGATTCTCGAGCTTTTCAAGTAATTCTTCAACCTCTTTTCTTACATTTTCATGAATGACTTCGCTGTTGGATCGGTGTTTAGCGTCCTCAAGTAGGGTAGCTAAACTGTTACCATGTTTGATGAGGGAATTAATTAGTAAATTCATAGTATGGTGGTTTGCTGCTGTAAATGCTGTTAATTCAGGTTAACTGGTATTCTATTCTCAGTACTAGTTAATCCTGCTAAATGAATACTGCAATGGAATCAAGCATACAAAGTGTAATCGCTTGACAGGAATTATAAATTTTTAAATAAGACCGTCCCTACCATGACCACCTTTTACTTATGAGTTATATGCTTATACTGACCATAAAAGTGGTCTTATGAATGTTATGATAGTTTTACACAAGAATTACCTCTTAATCTTACATTGTGAGCAACAAGTTGGATCTTTTAACTGTTCATTCTCAGTTTTCCTTTATTTCTGTTTTGGTAAATTCTTCCTTACACCTTCTCTTGTCCCACTCGAAGTCTTGAAACCACTTTATTTAACTCTCACAGCCACATTTTCACTTTTATTTACTGTAAAAAGCAGGAAAAAAACAAAAATCAATCAAAGCAAAAGAAAAAAAAAAAAAAGAAAAGATTTAGGCACGTTAAAGTAAAAAAAATAATAATTAAAGCAAAAATAAACATTGTGACTCTTTTTTAGCGAATTACTTTGGGACTTTTTTTCTCCCAAAAAATTGAGTAATGCAAAATACTCCCTCCATCCAAAACACATTGAACTTATTTCTCTATTTATATATTATTAATGTATTAAAAATAAATTTTATCATAATACATGTTTTTATGAAGGTATTAGTAAAGTTTCTTAATATAGATATTTTACATATATATATATATATATATATATATATATATATATATATATATATATATATGAATAATATATAATAGTATATATTTAAAGTCAAACTAGTTCATTGGTATATGTGTCAAGTTTTTCATTTTAACCGGCATACAATCTCACTCACACAACTTTGCTTTATTATTATTTTAATTATCAATAGGCATTATTTATTAAAAGTTGATATTTAGAAACTATGTATCGAAATGATTCTAACAAATACTCACATAAATATATTTAATCTTATGCATAAAGCATAAACATTAGTCAAAGAGTTAAATGTGAGTAGTGTAGTCAAAATGGAAACTTTAAAAAAACGAAGGGAGTACTAGCTTAAAGGTTTATGTGATTTGCCTCAGTCCTACCATGCACAGCATGAAATTGCATGATCCTGTTTGCACAAATCAGACACACTTTTTTAATTTGTTGATTATACTCCATAATTATTGTCGGCACTAATTAACTAATGATTAATCATTAATAGTATAAAGGTTTTATTCCTGCATTGTTGTTTAACCTTGATTGAAAATTCTGTTCAATAAACAAGTTAAAACGTGATATATACTCATAAAAAAACAATTCACTCTTAAAACTGACCTGATTAGCTTTATTCCTTTGATTGGAAAGAAATATTACATAATTTCAATGAAAAAAAGTTCACAATTAGCTAATATTGTGAAAGATCTGTGGAGAACATGGGACATCCGTGCCTTGATACTCATTAGTCTCATTATCCAAGTTTTACTCACATCACTAGCACCTGTTCGAAAGCGTAGTTCGAGCAGTTTTCTCATGTTTTCTATTTGGATTCTCTATTTATCCGCTGATGCCATTGCTGTACTCATCATTGGGTTGATATCCAACAACAATGGTCCCCATAATCCTGAGCTACTCGCATTTTGGGCTCCTTTCCTTCTTTCACATCTTGGTGGTCCGGACACAATCACCGCCTTAGCTCTCGAGGACAACGAGCTGTGGCATCGACATGCTCTTCAGTTGGTCACCCAGGTAATCATCACAATATACGTGTTTGTTCAATCATTTCGTCATAATGATCTGTTAGTACCAACGTTGCTTATGTTCACTAATGGATTTATCAAGTACTTTGAGCGTACTTGTGCCCTATTTTTCGCTAGCTCTGACAGTTTTAGAGACTCCCTTGTGTCTAAACCTGAACCTGGGCCTAACTATGCTAGGCTTATGGAAGAGTATTTTTCTGCTAAGAGTGCTCATATTCCCACTGAATTCGAAGGTAAAGACGGTCCCTTAATAGAGGGACAAAGAGATGGTCAAGATTCGCAATCTTCTTCTACAATGGATGGTAATCCAGTTACAGGAGGTGATGAGGTGACGGAAACTGATATGGTCAAAGAAGCTCACCGGTTTTATGAGATGTCTAAACCCCTCTTAACTGATGGCTTTTTGAGCTTAAAAGATCGCGATGAAAGTCGAAATTTTTTCTTAAATAGGCCTTGTGTGGAAGTGTTTAGGATCATACAGATTGAGCTCAACCTTATCTATGATATCTTCTATACTAAGTTGTGCCTGTTTCAAAATAAAAGAGCTTTTGCTCGAGTTTTCTGCTTTTATTTGGCTCTTGTATCCTTCTTAATTTTCTATTTTGAAGACAGGAGCAAATACCATAATAAGGTTGATGTAGTAGTAACTTTCATATTGCTTGGTGGTGCTATTGCCTTGGATCTATCGACTGCTCTTATCTTCATGTTGTCAGATTGGTGGGTTATTTTATGCTATGAAGATACGCGCAAAAACTGTATTCAATCGTTCATGTTGATGATCCTTAGATGGTCAAAATGGGCTAGACAACGTAATCATAAAAGATGGTCTTGTTCCATCTCAAAATACAATTTACTTAAACGTTGCTTCAGAAAACCCCCTTCATTTTTCAACCTACTATACTTGTTTAAAATAAAGGAAATCAGGGATGTTTTAGTTGGGTTCCTCTATGTCGAAGGAGAGCAGTTTGAGGAGCAGTACATCAAGTATGTAATTGAAGAGCTGCAGTCCAAAGCTAACCAAGCAATTGACATGGCAGTAGCAAAGGAGGTATGTTCTGCAAGAGGGAATTTGGTTTTGCAGAATGATTATTACCTCGCTTCAGAGTGCTTAAGCCCTTGGACCGTAGATGTTGATTATGATGAAAGTCTGTTGATTTGGCACCTCACTACTGATATCTGCTACTGGACTTCTGCAAGTGATGATAAAGATTATGCTGACTCAGAATCAAAAGATCGTAGATTCAGCAAGGCACTAGCAGATTACATGGCATATGTTTTACTCAGGCAGCAGAAGATGGTGTCTGCACAAGTGGGTATGTCAGAGACTCGGTTTGAAGATACTTGTGCAGAGGTTAAGAAGTTCATGAACAATAAGTGCATCAGCATCAGCTGGCTTGCAGATCCCTGGTGGAAGGCTAAGAGGTTCGTGTTCGCGTCAAGCCAAGACAAGAGTCCTTCAGAACATGCAGAAGCTGAATTCTTCAAGGAGTTCAGTAAGAAGGTGCTTGAAGTAAGGGCAGATGTTCAGCCTTTAAAAGCAAAGGGTGATAAAAGTAAATCAGTACTCTTTGATGCATGTCGTCTTGCCAAGCAATTGGAATTGTTTGGTGAAAAGCAGTGGGACATAACCAGTAAGGTTTGGGTGGAACTGCTGTGTTATGCTGCTGTTCGCTGCTCACCAAGATCGCATATTGCACGACTATGCAAAGGTGGAGAGCTCATAACGTTAGTGTGGCTGTTAATGACTCATCTTGGCTTAGGGGAGCGCTTCCTGCAAAATCAGGGCTTCGGATGGACTAAACTTATTATTCACAAATGATCTAGTAGTGTAAGAATGAAATGCAGAGCTGATGATGTCATTTAATTTGTTAAATCAAAGTTTAGTATATGATACTTGAACACTCACCAACCTGTATGCTATGGCATCTGTTGATTTTAATTTGAGTTTTCGTCTTTGGAGAATACTATGACTCAATTATAATTCATTGTATTTGCTTTCATATTGAAGTTGAGCTTCCATCATCTTGAATCTCCATTAATCAAATTCATCAATGCTTTCCTTCCTCCCTGGATTTATCTGATTAATCAAGGGGTGTGTCGTTTATGCATCTTCATCTTAATTTTCACTACTCATAATCGATATTTTCATCATATTGGTAATTCAATATAAGACATTACCGAATACTCTTGTTGCTGACTGCCCGCTTTTCATAGTAATCTAATCACTCACTTATTGGTCATGTTCATGTTCATATATTAATTAAATTGCAACATTATATAACCCTGAATTTTTCCCTATTTTACAAAAAACTATGGGTTTAAATTGCAATTTCAAAATTGTGAATTGAAATTTATAAACTTGACATCTTTGATCTTGCTTGATTATTGAAATTTAGCTTTACATTTATTTAATTTTGACTGAGTTTTTAATACCTCATATTATCTTACTTGATTTGAAGAAATTAACATTCGATTTTGTTTAATTATTAATCAATGATTCTAACTTTCCAAAAAAAAAAATGTGTTATTTCATCAGTTTGTTTAATTGTTACTCCATAAGGTATTACCAATCACATACGCAATTACAAACACATGACCATTCCTGCAAACCCTTAATTTTATGCTATACACCGTACATGATTAGACCCTTTTTGATTGATTTAGATGTGCCCCTTCTTCCCTATAATCCTATATATTCTACTGATTTGATGTAATCCTTCTTGTTTAAAAATTAAAGACTGATTAAATTTCAGTAACGGATTCGATGATTGATGATAGTCACTTGACTGGAGTATTGAATACTTTGATGATTACCTGATAATCCACTAAGTGAAGTTGCTGTCATTTAATTTTCTTGAAATTATATATTTTAAGGCAAGATAATTAAGATGATATGTCTGTTTAATGATAATTTGTATTAATCCAAGTTCTCAACAATCTAAACAAGTAAACACAATATATAACTAGGCCATCTATTCTTTGTCTTGTAATTTATTTATGAGTGATGACTTAATTCTTCCTCTTTCATGTGATTCTTATTCTGTTTATTTGAGGCTCTTGAACTTGTATATTAATTTGTCTGCTCATTATCATGCAGAATTCCTGAACTTGGCGCAGGTTGCCTACTCAGATGACTGATATTGTGATTTTTTGCCATTTGTTGTGAAGTCCATTACTCTAATTGCACTGCTGGAATTCCTGTCTCCTAATTTTCAAGGCAAGGATGCTACAAGAATT